TGAGCGGGGTGTGGAGGGATGGGATGGTGCCGCATCCATCGGAAGCCCGGATTCCCAGGCCGGCAGCCCCGGGCGGGCCGGGCTCTGGGTGTGCAGAGAAGACAGCAGCAGGGGCCGCTCCTTTCCTGGCGCTCTGCGGCTACACGCTCCACTGCGGAGGGACGTTGGGCAGACATGGGAAGGGTAGGCCAGAGATATTTTAGGCCAACTCAGATGCTTCTTAGCTCTCTGAAGAGCTGACCCCAGAGAAATCCAGTGGCGGTGGTGGTAGTGGTGAGGAAGCCAGGCGTTTGCTCATTTCTGCCTTGTTCAACTCGGTGTGGTGGGAAGGGCCTCCGACAGCAGACCCCGTTCTCATTACACAGGCGGCCAAGGCTACGTGGCTGTTACAGGTATAGGTCCCATCCTCTCTGTGTGTTCATTTAAGTGACCAAAGACATGTCTGGAATTGGAAGTATCCAGAGAGAAGAGTTTGGGTTTTCTGGACTCTCTGGCTGGGAGGGTCTGTTAAGTCACCCAGCCTTCCTTGTTATTCTGTCCCATGTACAATGGTCCACGTAATACGGTTTTGAACCTTTTCTTCTAGACTTCCTGTTGGACACTTAATTTTGTAAGAGGTTGAATTAATTTTTTTTTTTTTTTTTTTTTTTTGAGAGAGAGAGAGAGAGAGAGCATGCACACACACTCATGAGCGGGGTGGGCAGAGAAAGAGGGAGAAAGAGAATCCCCAGCAGGCTCTGCCCTCCCAGAGCAGAGCCCTGCGTGGGGGCTCAATCTCACAAACCCTGAGATCTTGACCTGAACCGAAATGAAGAGAAGCTTAACCAACTGAGCCACTCAGTGCCCCAGGGGTGAATTAATCTTATACTAATTAACTATCAAGCCAAACAATTAACAAAATTAATTTGGTGCTCCTTCTAAAACAGGGGTATGGAAATAGTCTTTGTACATAGACATTTAGTAAATACTCTAGGCTTTGCAGGCCCTGTGGCCTCTGTCAGCAACTCTTCAGCTCTGCTGGGAAGGATGAAAACAGCTATAGACGAAGTACAAATGAATGAGTGTGGCTGTGTTCCAGTAAAACTTTATTTACAAAACAAGCACCTGGCTTGGGGGCTTTAGTTTGCCTGAGCCCTGTTCTATAAAAGAGCTGTCAGCCATTGGGGAGTGTGTTTGGGCAGAAAGGTAAAAAAGAAGCTACATGGCATGGTTAAGTTAAATGGGTATAAGCATAAATGCTAATAGCTGAGAGAAGAATACACACTGGCATCTGAGGTTGTCTCGTGCTGAAGGACGCACAAGACACTGAAGCTGACTGAGGGCTGGCTGAGAAAAGCAGCGACGGAGGAGGCCCAGCAAGAGTGCCAAGAACACAGGAGGCAAAAGCGGGCCCCACAGCAGTCCTTAGTTGGGCTAATGACGACGGATGGAGCTGTCCTCACTGATGGCTTCCTGTAGGAGAGGCTTTCTTGTGATCATAAAGGGCCAAAATTAGGAGAATCCAGGGGCACCTGGGTGGCTCAGTCGGTTGAGCATCCGACTTCAGCTCAGGTCATGATCTCACGGCTTGTGGGTTCGAGCCTCGCGTCGGGCTCTCTGCTGACAGCTCAGAACCTGCTTCGGATCCTCTGTCTCCCTCTCCCTCTACCCCTTCTCTACTTGCACGTGTGCTCTCTCTCTCTCTAAAAAAAATAAATAAACATTAAAAAAAAATTAGACTCCAACCCCTACCCTTTAATTCAGATGAAAAGTTCTTACTTTTATCTAAAAATTTCCAGTTTATCCTCCAAAGTCTTTAAACAAAAGAAAAATTACAGTGTTCTTAGGTCTCTGCTTTTTTTCTTTCTTTTTTATTTTTTATTTTTTTTGACCTGCCTTTATCTTTTCAACTTGTGGCACTCATAGGAAAATGTTATCAAATCAGGAACTGAGTGTTTAAAACCTGATGTTCTCTGTCCCTTGTACTCAGCATCGCGGTTGTGTCCTGCTTCCCACCAGACTGGGGAGCTCCCTGAGGGCAGGCACCTGGTGCTGCTACGAAGCTTAAGGCAGCTGTTGCTGAGACTTTGCTAGAAAGCTGCTGACCTTTGACGTGAGCCACAGCGACAGCACTAAGGCTGAGAAATAGCGCCATGTGTCTGTGTGTGTGTTACAGTGTATATACATTTGTATTTCAGGAGGAAATGAGGATGTTTAGGATGAGGGTCCAGGAAGTGGTGAAAGAAAACGAAGAATTGCATCAGGAGCTAAATAGAAGCAGTCCTGTTACCAGCAAGGAATGGCAAGTGTGTTTCTGGTATATTCTGCTAGCTCAAAAGAAAAGATGATAGGAATAAACTTTATTAAACCATCAGATACCTTTTCCTTTTTTTCACTAAAACATTTTCAGGGAGAGTTTCTAAGAAATTAATAAGGCACAGTGAAAATGTGATCTATTCCATACTTGAATTTTAAAGATTACGTTTAAAATTCTAAATAGGCTTTTAAGGGGCGCCTGGGTGGCTCGATCGGTTGAGGCCGGGCTCTTGATTTTCGTTCGGGTCATGATTTCACGGTTCCGTGAGATCAAGCCCTGAGTCGGGTTCTGTGCAGAGAGCACAGAGACTGCTTGGGGTTCTCTCCCTCTGTGTCTGCCACTCCCCTCCTCACGTGCGTGCACACGCTCTCTCGCTCTCTCAAAATAAACAAATAAACTTTAAAAACTAAAATAAAATTGAAATAGGTTTTTAAACCTGAAATCCATCTACTCTCTCTCCCTTTTTATGTTCCGATGTTATATTTCTCTAGGAGAGTTTTCCCATTCCAAACCTGTTGAGCCACATCCTTTTTGCCCTCGTGACTGTTCCAGAGCTTTAGCACAGAAAGCTCAGGATGGGGCTGCTTACCACTAGCTCCCGTCTGGCCTGCCCTTTCCGTGGCCTTCCATTCCCTGACAACTGAGCGTTGCCTCACTCCGTCCTGCTACAGATGCTGCTGCCTCTCCCCAGAATGCCCCTCCTGCCTCTTACTTCATCCGTTAGGGCCCTGCTCAAATGGCCCTGATCAAATGATGCTGGTCAGCGCCTCTCCCTGGAGGCAGAATTCCTCAGTTGCTCCCTTGTCTCAGTTTCTGACACGGCCCTAAACATACACCCTGTCCTGGTACATGCCATGCTGTGCCTACCTGTGTGTCTCCGTGTCGGGCTTACTGTGCTCGGTGAGCTCTCCGAGGGCAAGGCGATGTCCTGTTCATCAGCACAGTGGCAACAGAGGCCTAGCCAATGAATACATGAAAGTAGAGGTCTTAAAAAGTCTAAGGGCAATATCCAGGCAAGACTAAGAAAGCAAAAGCTATTCACGTTGATCTTTTTCTATGTTATGCTTAGTAATTTCTAAACGTTTTAACATCACTGAAAAAAATTAAAGTACTTTCCGTATGTGATGTCCCGGAATTTGGAATAAGAGGCAACAGCATTGCTACCATCAGGTGGGTTCTCCCTGATGTGATGGTCACTGATGTGTCAGTCAGGTTTGGCCTGGGCAGCTACTGGATCTTGGTGCACTGTGGTTTCCACTGTTGAACTTGGATTTTCTTCTGTCAGGGCTCCTAATGTGCCTCCCCTCAACCCTCCTTGAATAGCACCCTAGAAAGCAGGTCAGTTAAGACCGCTTGCAAGAGCCCTCGAGAGAACTGGGATGTCAGGTTCTTCCTCTGACCTCATACATAAATGCAAGTCAAACCTGGTTACTTCTCCTTAAAATCAAATAAATAAACAGAAGAAAGACCCCACTTTCAAATCCACACGTGCACTTGGCCCTTGGCACCCTGCTCTGGTGTGGTGGTCTATGCCATGGTTGGGGAGATGTTAGGTCTGTGCGGTGCCTGTTGAGACCCCCCCCCCCCCACCATCTGGCCTCCTCCTGGAACTCATGCTTCTTCCTCCACCGGGGAGGGATGTCCCAGTGGCAAGATGCTCTGAGACCTGCCGGCACCCTCCCAGAGCATGCACCATCCACCCCACCTCCCTGGCCGAGGATCCCACTTGGTCCCACAGCCCGGAAATGGACGTCCCCACCATGATGACTGGCCGCAAATTCAGCTTACTTGTCACGTGCTAGGAAACTGTCCCTTATTTTTCATCACGTAATTCTCTTCCATGAACTTCATGGCGCCACAATCTCAATTTTTTTTTCCGATGTCCTCTGACCAACTGGGATAGCTCATGTTTCACGGGCCTCAGTTTGCCTGTAAAATAGGAGGGGGTACTAAACTAAATCTGAGGTCTTAAATTTTTTTTTTTTTTTTTAAGAAATAGGAACTGGGGCTTCTGGTATTGCCCAGTTGTTGCTACTCTCAGCGTCAGGTCACGTTCTAGTCCTGTAGAGTTCGAGCCAGGCGGCTCTGGGCTGATGTGGCTGTGCAGAGCCTGAGCCTGTTTCTGATCTCTAGTTACTCCTTCACTCTGCCTCCCCATTCATGCGTCTCTCTCTGCTCCCCAAAAAATAAAATAAAGGAAAAAAAATTAAAAAAAAAAAAAGAAATAGGAGAATCCCTAATATTGAAAAAAGAAAGAAAAGAAGGAATGGTGGAAGGGAAAGAAAGGAAGGAGGGAAGCAGGTAGGGAAAGAAAAGAGCGAAGGGAGGGAGGAAGAAAGAAGTCCCGAGCAAGTCCACAGTGGGGCTGGTCTGTCAGAGGCAGGACAGTTGTGGGGCCACAGCTGGGAGCTGGTGGGGAGGGGGGCTGGGACTCTGTCCCTCACAGACAGCAGGGCAGCTCCCTCCCATCATGGGTGCTGAGGAGCCAATGTGCAGCCACTACTGGAGTGAGATCATTGCTATAGCTTGACTCTTTTCATCTTTTTTCTCTCCTTCCTCTACTTCCCTTTTTGAGCTTAAAGTGAACACTTGAGATAATTTACTGGTTTACCATTTGCGTTGAATGGTAAACATTTAACCAGATTTCCGAGGCCCCCTTAGCTCATTCCGATTGGAATTTTCAATCATGAAGGTTGAGCTGGGCTGGGATTTACTTGGCACCCTCTGTAAGGGAAGGGTTTGCTCATGTGAGATTAAGGTTGGGGACTTTTAGTACTTAGTATGGTTTAAGAAACCAGCCAGAGGATTTTAACAAAGTCATCGTTTTGGGACAAATATGCTATTGATTACAAGTGAGTACTTCTCAATTAAAATGAGAACTTCTAGGGAGCCTGAGTGGCTCAGTCTGTTAAACGTCCTACTCTTGATTTCTGCTCAGGTCATGATCCCAGCATTGTGACATCGAGCCCCATGTTGGGCTCTATGCTGAGAGTGGATTCTGCTTGGGATTCTTTCTCTCTCTCCCTCTGCCCCTCTCCCCTGCTTGTGGGCTCTCTCTCGCTCTCTCTCTCTGTCTCAAATTAAAAAAACAAAAACAAAAAAAAAATGGAAACTTCCTAAATTCTTCCTCGGTTCTAATTACCTACTGGTTTCAAAATAATCCAGTGGGTTTTGGGATTGGAGGTTTATATAGATGAAACAAGATTGACCATTTGATAATTGTTCATAGTGGGTGTTGTGTACATGAGGGTTTATTATCTGTTTCTTTTCTACTTCTGTATATGTTTGAAATGTTACATTTTAAAAAGTTACTGAAGCAGTTCATAATCGAGACTTTATTACTGTCCTTTCCCAGTTTAATGTGAGTGGGAGGATTAACTGTGTTTGAAAGATGTTTAGTATTGAAACTTGTCCAGATAGTCATTACCTACAACACATTAGTGGCTTTCTTTTTTTTTTT